AAGGATGGAGTAATTGATGATAAGGAAATGGTTGCTTCTAGCTCAAACCAATCACGATTTCGTAAGTATTTAGCAGAATATGGGGCTGATTCCAAACTTATTGATTGCTATGCCAAAGATTCAAAGACTACTATGGCTTCCAACAAAATCCAGCAAGCACAGACTGAGAAGCGTTTGGCTGATCCAGGTAAAACTCCAAAGTATTTCACTTTTGAGAAGATGCTTAAGAGACTCCAAAATATCGATATTTCTAAAATTCCCTCTATGTAGAATCTCGCAGATGTGATAGTGATGCTGAGCATGAGGTCTGCTGAAGTATCATCTCTCCAGATTATTAATTACAAACCAAATTCTGAAGATCTGCCAGCGTGATATAAAGCTGGTTATTCTTGGTATTGGTATTGCACTGGATGTCGTAAACAGAGAGAAAATCTGATGCCTATGCGCTTACTTTCTATAGAAAAGAATCCAGAACGTGCTAGAAAATTACTTACTTGGATGCAAGACGCCAATAAGGTTGGGAAGTTGCATGATCCAGTTTATACTGAAACTTGAAAGCATAATAATGTGCCATTTGCCAAATTCATAAAGAGTTTAAAAACTAATCAGAATGAAGATGAGATTACCCTTGAGCTTCTAAGAAAAATAGGAGCTAAACCTGACTCAATGATTCATGTCAGTTCAAATCCAACCCCTCAACATCTTGACAATCTCATTAAGGCATAAAATCAGCCGTCTTGATGCAGGAAAAAATTATGCTTTAGGTGATCCAGAATCGAAAAAGGAGCCCAAATCTGAACTATAGACAAGTAATTATCTAAAACTTCAAGCACAGGCTTCTTCACTTATACTATAGGCTAGGAATAGCGGTACTCAAGACCAAGCTGAAAGAAAGTCTCAAACAATAGAAATGGATTCTATATTAGCTGAAATTGATGCAATATTAACTGAAATTCAGAAATAAATTCCTCACTTGTAGCTTTAGTACTGCGGGAGATAAGCCAGCTGTTTAGTGAAAAAATTTTGATTAAAGTATAGCAGATTTATTAGTAAAATGTCAGATGATGAGATGGATGCTGAGAAAAAGAGCGTTACAATGAATTTATTAAAGAATATGGATCGAGATATGAATGGGATAATGAAGGGATTCCTGAATTTATACCAGAGTGGGAAGACTGGAAAGATCTTTTTTGCAAAATCAAAATCTATTGGAAGACAAAGGCAGTTAGGCATTGGAGGGAGAAAACACTTAAACAATTTGTATATAGTCTGCCTGGTGTAAGAAATCCAACATCAATACTCCATACATTTATACAATCTGATGCTTTTTACCTCTCACAAATTTTAAGCCTAATAGAATTGCCATATTGTCCGCATAAACTTTGAAGGAAAATATGGCTGGAAAGTATTGAGAAATTCCGATGTAGATTGTTTATTCAAGATAGAGAATCAATAGTGGATTACTGTTTAAAGGCGAAGAAATGTAATGATACTGTCAAACTTTATAAAAGTCATTTTAGAAGTGAATTCTATAGTGGATTAACGTGAGAAAATATGAGATCTATTGCAAAAAATAATTATTATTGTGAATTGGTAGAAATGCTTATTCAAGCAGAAAAAGAATCAGTGACTGATATTATAACTAGGATTAAAGATTATATAAGTCAGTTTGGCATTGCTAATAATCTGAATGTAATGCAATACTTATTGAGAGACATACATGGGTAACTAACCTGAGCAAAGGTAGTCCGGAGCAGTAATCTTCAGCTCAGAAGATTTTTGCTGTGCCACAATTGTGCGACAAAATAGGCTGATCACATAATAGGTTTATGCGATATTTTTGCATATTAATTTTGCATATATGTTCGCTAACCAATACCTAGAGCTCTGAACAGGTCGGTCGGATTGGGTAATTGACTTGACCTGACCTGATAAGGTCAGATCAGGTCAGACATAAAATTAACCTAAATTAAATATACATTTGACCTGACCCAACCTGACCCAACTTAACCTGACCTGTCTAAAAAAGGAAACTAAACAATTATTAATTTTGTTTAATATTTTTTTAAAAAAATATAAAA